GGGGGGGGAAGCGTGTGTAGCAAAAGAGCATTGCCCCCAGCCAGCGGCCCGATCGCAGCATCAAACAGATTTTTCTTCTGGGCTGTGCGTGGATTTTTCCACGCGGGCTCCAGCCCGGGAGCTCACTCAGCGAGTGCACCAGGAGAGATGGGAAGAAGCAGGCACACGTATTTTGGTTTGTTCCACGCTTTTTGCGTCTCAGGGGCACTTTGGGGGCTTGCTGCTGACTTTTCTGCTGTCTATCCAAACTGAGCGTTAAAGGAATTTTCTCAGATCTCAAGAGAGAAAATAGGTACCAATGGGATTTTGTAAAGAAAAAAAAATCCTTCCCCCACAGGACACATTAAATAACAGCTAAGCAAAACATAATCCCCTGCCCCCAGCAACTTCTCTGAAACAGCAAAGTTTCGGTCAGCTTCCACATACTGTTTTTATATTTTGCTACCTGTTTACTTTCATCCTTTTGTCTGTACACTTGCATCTCCATCCTGTAGACACTCATACAAATAACACTTCTTTATGAGCAATCTTAGCTCAGTGAGGCTGTGCACGTAGACAAGGTCATACAAAAATACAGAGTCTTGCAGGATGGTGGCCTGCGCTTGTATAAATGCTTACACTTATTATCATGTGTAGCTTATGGTACTGAAGTTAATCACGTCGATCGATCGGTGTTTGAATGATCAGGGTCTTGCACCACAAGCTCCCTGGAGCAAGGGATTGTATGTCACCAGCCATTTCAAAAGCAACTACCGATTTTGACCGCCTTTGGATTTTTTTTTGGATGGTCAGCTTGAGACACCCAAAAAGGAGCCCAGTTTTCTCTGCATGACTGATGAATAATTAATAAAAATCAGGATCGCTTCACTTTCAGGAGTCTCCGGCTTCATCCTCCAAATTGTGGCCTGATTTGAGAAATTCTGGCCTTTCAAACATCACTCAAGTTCACAATATTATAAACCCAGTAAATAATACTAAGGCATCTGAGACCCTCATTTTTTTTCCTCTACAGAATTCTGCAATGTTATTACATGACTGCTACAAAGGCGGTTCATTGCCCTGCAACCCTGGGCCCCACAGCAGTTGTGCATGTAACTCATCCTGGCTACATGTGCATTCTTCAAGGTATCGAGCACCCACCACACACACAGAGGTTGTGGTCTGAAATTAATCTGAAAGGCCTTTTTACTTCATTTTGTTGTGCATCTCAGTGAATAGATGCTATTTTATGACTACTATTTCTGCTATACTATAGTGTGAATAATATTCACAATCGTAAGTATTCATTTTCTTCATCAAGAAGCCAAACTTCTTTCAAGCAGTAAGGAATTGATGCTTGCAACTTGTTTATTCATTTTTATAGTATTATTATTCCCTTGTGCAGATTAAAAATTGAGGCAGAAAGGGCAAATAATTTGCACTAAATGGTATTTCAAATCAGTGAAAAAGCTGGCTATAAGTGAGAATTTCCTAACAATTGATGGAGAGCTTTTAAAATTATTTTCGTTGTTACTGTTGCTGATGTTATGTGGACTGATGTTTAAAGGTTCATATCAAATCCAATTAAAATGAAAATGAAGCACTTAACTCATTTTTTGGAATGGCCTCTCTTGCTATAGGAAGCTTTCAATCTAAATAATTTTTCCGAGTTCCTCTGTAGTCAGTGGCGGAGATAAGTGCCTCCAAGTACTTATCTGGACTGGATAGTACCAATCCTATCTCAAAACAGCTTTTTAAAAGATATGGGTTAAATAATCTCTGGAAGCGCCTATTTCTTTATTGGCTCTGGAAAAAAAGCCTAGATGATTAACTCAGATTAAGTACCTTATTTTTAGCTAGAGCTAAATGAGCTAATGAGTCTCACTCTTTTCAAAACATAAGAGTTGCAACACATGATTTTTGTTTCAGTTCCTATCTGTGTCACTGAACTTTATCATTTATTGTCATCTTTTTACCAAAGTTCAATAGAAAGACACTGGTCTTTACATGTTTCTACAAATGTATTGCAGAAAAAAAATATTTGCAGTACAAATATATTATGGGGTAAATCACACCATCACTTTCAGTGCTGGACCTGCTCCCTATATAAACAGAGCCTTCAACAAGGAATCCTGGTAGTGTAGGATTTTTGCTTTTATGGAGATAGGAAAAAAAAACCCAAGGAGGAAAGTCTTGTAGAATAAAAATACCTCCTGACCAAATAGTACACAACTGCAAAAGCATTTTCACCTGTTGGAATGAATCATTTATTTCTACTGCACTTTTCAATGCCCCTCTGTAATTTCTGCAGAAGAAAAACTTCAGCTTTCTGTACCACTAAAGCTGAACCGAATGTGTTTTGGCAGAATGTAACTACCTATATTTAAAAGTCAAACATCCAGAGATCCTGGAACATGCCAAAAAGGTAACCGAGGGCTTGTGCCTAACTAGGCAATAACATCATTGGAACCAACTGAAAGAAAAGCAAGGAAGATTGCCACAAACAATGGTCAGAAATAGGGCATGAAGCCACCCATGAGTAGAAGGTGGTCATAGCAGTCTACCTTGTGGTGGAGATCAAAGGAAAAATTACATAGGTGAGTCATGCAAGGCTGATTGAGGGTCAAAATGTGATGAACCAGATGTGTCTGGGATGAAGAGCCATCTGCTAAAAAGCAGAATAACTTCAAAATATCTACAGAACATCATGGTGAAAACTTTGGATATATAAGTCATTGCAGAAAGAGGAAAATAGTACAGAAACTTTAAAGAGTTTTTACTTTGGGGTATCTTTGGGATCTCCCGCAGATTTAGGCGTAGGCATTCCATGAACGTGATTCAGTATTACTTTTGAGAAGAGATTTGTAACTCTTCTCCCCTTTTCTCTGAAGTCGGAAGTGGAAGAATTAGAGAGGCTGTAAATACACTGAGGGAAGCGAGGTCCCAAGCAGAGCTAGAGATGTTAGTGCTAATTCCTTTGGTTTCTGATTTCTGCTGAAGTTCCTGCATGTCATCCCAGAAGTGACAGCAAAAAGAAAGCCTTTATTTCCCCTGTGGCAGAGGGCCAGCAGAACAGTCCGGTCCTTTCTCTTGCTTCTGGTAGAGATGAGTATGTCAGGCAAATGAGGGAAGGCAGACGTGAAGACACAGTACACTGCGATATGCGGTTATTCGAGCACGGGGTTGTTCTATAAAGAGCCTTATCAGCACAGCACAAGTTAAAAAACCTGCCTAAGAAGGAGAGGTTACTCCACCATATGTCAAGGACTGCTCTGCTTCCCAGCTGCTTCTGCAATCCAAGAGGCATAAAGGTGACAATATTTCTCCCTGGGCTGTGAATGAGCGCAGAATTGAGATTCCACAGCTCCCGCTGCGTGTGCCCACTGACAGGATGTCATACGACGGGACAAGCATTCACAGAGGCTCTCCCCAGATAATAATATAGTATAATAGTCCCTGGTGAATTAGTAGGATCCAAATGCATCAGATACTTAAAGATTTTTCAAAAGATCAACTTCCTGAGAGGTTCCTCTTCTAAAACTGCTCTGCTAAAGAAGGTCAACGTGCTGGAGGGATCGTTGCTACTGTAATTCGTAGTTGCATGTGTTATTGCTGGTTCTTTCCAATGAACCCGGCCAGACAACTAATTTCAAATATCTCTCGCCATTCTGTTATCTAATGCTTTCTTAACTATTGCTATCAGTCAATGCATTCCTGAGAGCAATACTCAGCCTGGAATTGACTTAAAGCTGTCATGGTCAAATGATATCTTCTGATTAAGTCTACTCTAAGGCTCACAT